GAAAACAGCAAAATTGGATGTTCTAAGTCCATAACAGTATGCAGAAATCGCTCTGCCATTTCCTGGTTGCTAAGATTCTAATAGTTCGCCTAATTTCAGTTTATGTGACAAAACAAGCAAGTATAGTATAGAGAATCATTGTACCATCTAAACCACTGTGAAATATATTTTCCATAACCAAAAATGTTGTATTTTCAGCTGTTTGAAGATGGTGTACAAAACCAAAAGTAAAAGCACAAAAACTAAACTTAAGAACGGGAAGCATAGAAATAGAGCACATAAAACAGATATACATCTTCTTAGACTTGCTTTCAATGAGAATGACAGATCTATAACTCACATTTCTATGTGGATTTGGTCGGGTCCCCAAAAAAGTTTAAACTACATCAGAAGACCACTTTTTAGGTCAGGGAAAAGTGTAGTTTGGGTGTAGTTACCCTTTAATTCAAGTGCGCAGGCACCTAGCACAGTTGTTTGGCTAGTGTGTTTATGTAGCACATGAGATGGAGTTTGCTAAACAAATGGCCACTGGATTGACGCAATTAATCATAATATCATTCTGCTAGGTATGCATAGGCTACTTTGTAGCTAGTTACATTTAATTGAGAAGGTTTTTGGGAAAGCCTTTCCATCTTAGAGAAGATGGTTATTTCGTCAGCCTGTGATTTTCAAGCAAATAACTGTTGGCTCACGGTAATTTACCGTTAATTAACATAAACACATGTAGCATCTCCTGGGTTCCACACATAGTCTACAAGCCACTGATGCAGACCTTTGGAACATCTACATTTAAAAAAGTCTAAATGTATGTAATATAGACTACACCGTCACAATAAATCCATTATTTATTTTAGACATGTCTAAATAAACATGATATGAAGAAAATGTAGTCTATTTCTGAAGAACAGAATAGCATACTCTGTTGTCTTTATGTTAGGTCCTGATCTGGCTATGCCAAATGGCTGTGGGCTACACTAGTTAATTTAGCAGACAAGATTTGCTTAGAATTCTGTGGCATTATTTTATATTATTTTATGATACGAAGAATACAATTGAACAAAGCTGAATAAAATAGAAAGGATATTTTCTCCAAACGATTTGAGGGAGTGCGCACATGCGGCTATTCTGTGTTGAGCGGTTAACAAAGAAATAGGTACTCCTATATGCTTAATTTAGAGTTTGTAATGTGACTTTAGTTGTTCTACAAACATTGGGCTATATGTTTTGATTTTTAATACATTGTAAGGCTGCATGATGCGACTCTAATGATGATTTGAAAAAAGTCGCTTGAAAGGCATGAGCTCTGCTTTGTTTTTTTGCGCAGGCTGTACACACTTCATCAGTCTCTCATTCACAATTTGACAAGCACTTCATAATGCCTCGACTTTCCTGGTGGCATCCCCTTTGTGTGGCCGTAATGCACCCTGACAAAATCCATGCCTGTGGCCATTGTGACCTTGACCCAGAGTGCTGCGTTGTGCCCTTCTCCCTGAGTGCTGCCTGAGCCGAAGCACCTCTCACGCAAATGGCTTTCCATCACGTGATCGGGTCTTTCTCACAGGCTACAAGTGAAGACAGACACATCGGGGATGCAACTGTGCGCATCCTTATCCAATTCCGAGGTGCCAATTGAAGATATTTTAATCAGGCAACAAGATGAGTAGGCATAATGAACAGCAAAAGCACTAGCCTATGTCAATCTACTATCCCCCATAGTACAAAAGTTGATCTATTCTATCCTGTGCTAGAAATAAATATTCCAAACATAGTCTGGGACAGTTGTGGGATGCGATAGATCCCAAATTAATACAACCACTAGCATCAAAAAAACATGTTTTATGCAATGTGGCTTACGCAACAGATCAGAATGTTTAGCTTAAAATGTTGATAAACTATTAGGCTATTTCTTCACATTATAAGCACAGCAATGCACACACAGCAGTAGGCTATACGCGCAAATGTTCCATTAGCAGGAAAACACCATTATCAAAAGTGACCGCAAATGCGAAAATCCATGTAATGCTTTTATTATAAAGGTGCATTTTTATGGTGAAAATGATCTTCCCCAAACTTGAAACTCACGCGCTGCTTATGTATGCCAGTTAGGCTCTACCCCCTGTGTAAAGCGGATTAATGTGCTTAATTTTAAGATGTTATTTGACCACTTTAGTTTTGATACAAACCTTATCAAAAACATATAGGCCTATGGGCTAGGCTACATGAGGTGTGCGACTATGATTAGAAAAGGCATTGTTTCTTGCCTTACTCTGGGCATCATTCACAAGTGATAATATATCATTCACAAGTGATAGGCTAATATTGTCACCCATCAGACTATTCTTGATTTAATCTTGTCTTTACATATACTAAATAATATATGTGTGAAATTTGTTTTGATTTAGAATGAACCATTATCATGCACCTGTCTCGAAACAGGGGGAAAAAATACATGTCATCTATGCACTTAAATAGCAAATGGTGGACGCTTTTCCCGTGGTTAAATTTCATGCCAGCCAGGTAGGCTATACTCCTGTTGTAAAGATAAGCCATGTGCTTAATATTAGGACAGTTGAGAAATAAAGCTGATGGGATCCTCCTCTTTTTAATAGAGGCCATCACTCTGTTTTCTCGCTCAATTGCATAGCCTATAGAAATGTTGCGCAACATGAGCTAATGGGCTCTCATGAAGTGTTTGATTAGATTTTCGATTACATTTGCATTGATGTCAGAGTGATTATAGCTACAATAGAGTGCTGAGTACCAGGCAGTTAGCAAGTTTGGTAGGCTACTAATGACCATTAGCAGCATCAGAGCTTGGAGAAGCCTAATTACCGTGACTAAATGGTCACGTGGAATTTGACTGCCTTCATGACTCATGACCGCGGCAATACAGTCACCACAACAGCCCTAGGTTAGGCCTATCATTAACATCGCTATATTTGTCCTGTTCCTTAATTGTTTGAAACCTGGAGGTTTTACTGCATATTATGAAGCATATCTTATCTTGCTTCAAAGTAGCCTATAGCCAAAATCCCACCATAGAAACGTGGAGGCAATTATTTTATAAATACTTCCTCATATGCGTTCTCCTGTTCTATTGGTTTTCTTTCAACTTTCTTTCATTATCTAGCAGCCAAAGACATTATCCTAGTCATATTAGCAACCCATGATTGTTCTTTAGATCTCCCCCCTTTCTAAATTTCTAACATATATTTCTATCTCTGTCCATGAAACTGCTCGCATGTGCGGTGCACATTTTAGAATGGTGTTTTCCCGCAAATTGCATTTTGGAACATTCGAGTGTAGGCCTACCGCCGGGTGCACGTTGCTGCGCCTAAAATGTAAGGAAATAATAGTAAAAATGTTCAGCTAAATATTGTGATCTGTTCCATCAGCCTTATACTGCGTATACCTCCACTACACTATTTTGATACGCATCGTGGGGATTAAGAAGTGAGTATACGCAATGCCTACTGAAAAATAAGCGGGTATACAGCGGATACCTGCATATACCCTCCACTACACCACCGGTGCGCCCGATGGGAGGAGGGGGAAGTGCGAGGCCATAACCTGCACTACTGACGTTACGACAAGGTTAACTGCCCAATGTCCTGCTGTGTAAAAATGGTAGGAGGTACTCCCTCCCACTCCCTCTCTTTCTATCTCTATTTCTCCCTCTTCATCCGCCCATAAACTCCATAAGTGTTCCAAGTCTCTCTGCAACAATCAAAATGCCGATGGACGAGCACTTCCTCTTGTGCACTCCCCACCTCCTGCACTATCAGGAACTTTCAATGCAGGAAATGCTGGGAGAAGGGGAGCTTCCTGTGGGCAGCCACACCACACCATGTCTCATTGGGAAGGCTGCCTGGGACATTCTGAATGAATGAGTCCAATTGCCTCATTGAGAGGGATTACAGGACTAGAGGGACTAACACACTGTGGCTATGGCTCTGTATGTCCGAGAAGGATTCCTTTTCCTCCTAACTGATTTGAGGCCAGCCTCTTGACCTGTCACCAGATCAGGGCTGTTACTCCTTCCACAAGAGAGAGAGAGGAGGGCAGGTTGAGGAGGGCTAAGGAGCACAAAGGAAGGAAACAAGGGAACGGTTGGACTCTGGTATATGTAACCAAAATACAGTGTTTTAGCAAAAGGGACTTAAGAACAATACTGGGAAAATTAGAGACAGGTTGCCACGTCATGGCATTTGTGGGAAAAGGTGTGTGCTTGTGTTAGTCATAGGTGTTTAATGGACTTAGTAACTGTACGGTCCCGTTGATTTGTGATAGATGGGATGAGACAGGAAGGACTTTGAAATATAAACAGTAGACAAATCAACATTTAAGATTTTCAAATTAAGAGTCCCTTCTTTGAATGTGGAAAAAAATCGTAAAGCTTTACTGTGCACTATAAACATAAATTAGTTGTTATATTTTAGGCAGGCCTTTTCCAATGGTTTGTATTTTGGGCTGTATGTGATTCAATCTTTCTTGGAGCAAGATGCGTCCAAGTACACATGGGGATCTGAGTGAGGCCTTGACACCATTGTGATTTCAGGGAGGATACCCAGTGATGAGATAACCACATATTAGCAGGTCTGTGGTCTCCTAACATCACAACAAACTCCTGACATGCATTCACTGACTGAGCCTCTGTCAGTCTGTAAGAAAATGTAACGGTATACTGAAGCTCCTTTTGTTGTACCAGTCAAAGTGACTACAGGACTAGAGGGACTAATACACTGTGGCTATGGCTCTGTATGTTACTTAATATGGTCAGAATTACCCTGGAGACACTGGAGCTAAAGGGAAAAGTTTTTGGAAGAAACGTTTTAGGACAGAAAGGCCACCAAAAAGTACTGTAAACCAGCCCAGGCGAACATTATTTTGACTGTTATTAAATGTGATTTGCACAGCATTATATGAGGTCAAATTAACAGTGTACTATATCAATTTTCCACTTATAAAGCTAAATATTTATGGAGGGTAATTTACTATAAATGCCTCGGATGGGCTCAAGTTCTGATTTGAACCAGCTGCCCTCTGGTCACCAGTTCATTTCCCTACCCAGAAGGCCATGCTGCTGCCCATTTGAGTGTCAGCCCGTGGAACTCCACTACACGGTCCCATAGAGGACCTCCCTGAATGTGTATGTTATATGACTTATTCTCTGGTGGACTCGTGGTTCAGTAAGAACACTGGACTCAAAGCAGCCTCATTCTTCCCTGCCTAATTCTGTGTTCATTTTCTTTGGCCCAGGACACTAAGGTTGTGAAACAATCTCTCACTTTCCTCAGAAGAGGGATAATGGGCCATAGAGGAATGTACTGTACTGAGTTTGGGGCAAGACAGACTCATGTGCTGTTGTGCTCTCCGCTAGTTTAGTTTAAATTTAAAGGCGAATTATGTTTGCTTCATTTTGTCATAGTGTTTATGGAATATCCTCTACGATGTGATCGGCAAATCTAGTCTTTAGTGTCATGTTGTTTTCTCACATATTTCTGTTGGCTTCATGGCAGCCAAATATTTTTCAATAACGGCTTTCCAGTGTTTTCCATAAATTGTTTCCCAGACCCAATGTAAACAGACTGCATTAAAATGCCACTCAATGGTTTTAATCCACACGTTTATCAAAAATCCCAGCTGTGATTGATTACAGATCTCTCAGTTGGCCTGTCAGTTGGTTGCTTTTTAGTCGGTTTCTGGCTTTATAGTCTTTTACATAGGATAATGGCTGAACATAAGCTGTGAGTGGATGTGGTTCTGTTCTGTTTGTGTTGGACGAACAAAAGCTGTGCGTGTGTGTGTGCCCCTTGTTCATGCTGGCTGGGGTCAGCTCATGTATATCATGCTCTGCTGTCCTCTATCTCTAACCCCTGGACTCCCTTTCTCTCTTTTTCTTTCTCTCTTTCTATGTTCCTATCCCTTTCCATCTCTCTCTCTCTGCCCCCCTCTCTCCGTCCTCTCTCAGGTGAGGGTCAAGGTGCCCGGCCTGCTCTGCTCTGTAATGTGGTTTGCAGCTGACATATCAGGGACGACCAGTCCCCACTAGATTAACCTGCTTTCCGAGAAGGATTCCTTTTCCTCCTAACTGATTTGAGGCCAGCCTCTTGACCTGTCACCAGATCAGGGCTGTTACTCCTTCCACAAGAGAGAGAGAGGAGGGCAGGTTGAGGAGGGCTAAGGAGCACAAAGGAAGGAAACAAGGGAACGGTTGGACTCTGGTATATGTAACCAAAATACAGTGTTTTAGCAAAAGGGACTTAAGAACAATACTGGGAAAATTAGAGACAGGTTGCCACGTCATGGCATTTGTGGGAAAAGGTGTGTGCTTGTGTTAGTCATAGGTGTTTAATGGACTTAGTAACTGTACGGTCCCGTTGATTTGTGATAGATGGGATGAGACAGGAAGGACTTTGAAATATAAACAGTAGACAAATCAACATTTAAGATTTTCAAATTAAGAGTCCCTTCTTTGAATGTGGAAAAAAATCATAAAGCTTTACTGTGCACTATAAACATAAATTAGTTGTTATATTTTAGGCAGGCCTTTTCCAATGGTTTGTATTTTGGGCTGTATGTGATTCAATCTTTCTTGGAGCAAGATGCGTCCAAGTACACATGGGGATCTGAGTGAGGCCTTGACACCATTGTGGTTTCAGGGAGGATACCCAGTGATGAGATAACCACATATTAGCAGGTCTGTGGTCTCCTAACATCACAACAAACTCCTGACATGCATTCACTGACTGAGCCTCTGTCAGTCTGTAAGAAAATGTAACGGTATACTGAAGCTCCTTTTGTTGTACCAGTCAAAGTGTATGAGATTAATACAGAATATCCTCTCTATGTCCTGACCCAACCCAATAGCCTAAAGAATACCTGGGCACAAAACCTGATTCTCTCTCAATCTGTGTCAGTGCATTAATAATATGCCATTTAGCAGACGCTTTTATCCAAAGCGACTTACAGTCATGTGTGCATACATTTTTACATATGGGTGGTCCCGGGGATCGAACCCACTACCCTGGCGTTACAAGCGCCATGCTCTACCAGCTGAGCTACAGAGGACCACATTACAACACCATCCTGCTTTGCCTTGAGTTCTTTTTACAGCTAAATCAGGGGAGAGTCTTTGGAGATTCTGGACATTTATGAAAGCCTAAAAAGTTTAATTCAATTTATATTGAATTTAATGCCATTGGCGCAGACTACTTAATGTGAAGTAAGAAGTGTAAACCCCCTAAAGCAGTCATTGGGCGACAGACTGACAGTGGCCAGCAGCGGAACCTCCAAAGAAAGAACAGGAAGTTACCTTGGAAGAAGCCAGACTCTTAAGGAGGTCTATCCACATCTGGTTGGCTCTGGGTGAATGGTCTGTGATGCCAGGATGTAGCTATTGTCCTGTGAGGAAGATGAAAGGTTGGACATAATGCCTCTGAAATGTTAGTGGTTACTAGGGTTAGCATGTGGTGGCTAAGGTAAGAGGGTCAAGTTTGTTAATATTGGTGCTCTTTGCCCATGTTCTTGATCATATGTGGATATTATTAATGTATAATGAGAACTTTATGTATTATAAGGACTGGTAGACACCCTGCTGGTTTAATCATAATGTATACTTCTGTGCTGTGCTCTAATTCAACCGAGGTAGATGTGAGTGAAACTAGAGCACTTACTGGCCACGGTAATCCCTCTATAATTAGGGGGCTTGGTTTTCAGGTGCACTTTCCAGGGGTCATTCTGTCTGCCATTTTCCAACAAAACAATGAGCACACAAGGAGGTATTCATCAGACTGCAATCTACTATTATATCCACCACATAATGTGTGTAAAGCTTAGGGTTTAAATCACAGACTGGTCACACGTTACCTGTAATTTTTGCAGAGCCCCTAGGATCACAAATCAATCAATTGTACTCGGTTCATGCCAAAATCCACACTTAATGAATCTGAACCAGTTGATTGTAAACCAAGTTAATGAAGCTTTGATTGTAATGGAGATCTAAGAGGGATGTGTCTTTGTTTTTTCTTTCTGTGTACAGGAAGCGTTGTCAGTTGTGAGTGAGGACCAGTCGCTGTTCGAGTGTGCCTACGGAACTCCCCACCACGCCAAGGCGGAGATGACGGCAGCGTCAGCCAGCGAGTACGGCCAGACGGCCAAGATGAGCCCCAGGGTGCACCAGCAGGACTGGCTGTCCCAGCCAGCCACCCGCGTCACCATCAAGATGGAGTGCAACAGTGGACAGGCCAACGGCAAAAGGTAAAGCAGTCCACCATTAGCTTTACTTCTACATTGACTTTCATACTGGTTGAATGCGAAACAAATAGTTTATTTGCATAGATATTTCAAATGTTATTAAAATAACATTTGTTTGAAACCTAACCACTTACTTATGAGTCTGTTTGGTCAAGTAATTGAAGAAAGTGTATTTTCAGTAAAATATCAGGAGTGCTGAGCAACTGCAGAAATATCTGCTCAGTGAGCCAATACAAAATGAACTTCTTTACATGACAGATCCATTAGCCGTTACTGTTTTGGCGTATCACAGAGAATTTTCGACCAGCCTTAACTTGGCGATACTGTCTTCGTTCTCGATTCAGCCAAACAAAATGTCTGTGTCCAGTTGCAGGTGGTTCGTTTGAATTGAGAAAATGCTCTGATATTAAAATAAATCAACATTTTTCTCCATGAAGTAATCCAACAATGGGTACGCTGCCATCTTGTCTATTTCAAATCTTCTCTCATTGATTGAGACAGGTGGGTCCAACCCAAAGTCATGTCATGATGACACTCACCTGTCTCGATCAATGAGAGATTTTAAATAGACAAGATGGCCTCCCGAGTGGCGCAGCGGTCTAAGGCACTGCATTGCAGTGCTTGAGGCATCACTACAGACACGGGTTCGACCTTCGCCTCTCCCAAGCGCGTTGGGAAGTTGCAGCGATGAGACAAGATCGCAATTGGATATCACAAAAAGGGGGTAAAAAAACTAAGAAAACAAACTAAAAAACTATTTAAATAGAAAAAATGGCGGTATACACATTGTTGGATTACTTCATAGAGCAAGAAATGTATTCATTCCATGAATGGAGCTGTACAAAAGGCCGGCCCTCTCCCTGCAGCACTGTCAATCACCCTTCACACCTCTGTTCATCCAACCAATCAGGGCGCTTGGATGCACTCCAGGGCTCCGCCCCGCACACCTCAAGTTAGAGTCAGCCTCAGTCAGCAAACAGTCAGCTCCCCCAGTGCTACACACCAAACCTCCTGCCCTAGTTCTAGGTCCTGGGTCTTCCGTCTCGCTAGGCTCAGAGTTATCTGCTTCTCTAGGTGTGCAGTCCCTGCCCCTAGCCAGTTCCCAACCCCAGTCTCAGCCGGCACCCAGTCGCCTATACTAGCTCTAGGCTAGAAGTTCCCTGCTCAGCTAGGTTCGCAGCCTCCTGACTTGCTGTCCTCAAGTCCCCGGCACAATCAGGCCCTGAGTTTCCTGCCCTGCTAGGCCCTCAGCCCCCTGACCTGGGGGACCCACCATTCCCTGACCCGGGGGGCCTGCTGTCTCCAGTTCCTGGGGGCCGCCCGCCTCCTGCACTGGAAGACCCTCCGGCCCTCGCACCTAGGGAACCGCCTGGCCTTGTCTCTGGGGCCCAGCCGGGCCCTGCCTTAGGATCCCTGATGGGCCTCGCCCCACCTGCTTCACCATGGGAGCCTTCGCCATCAGCAGCCAGCGAGCTGCTAACGACAGCTGTGGCAAGCCTGCCACATTCCTTCGTTGCAGTAGGCGAGCCACCGCCTCCAGCCGTGGCCAGCCTCCGGCATTGTACTCAACGGATGGGCCCCAGCGGCCCTGCACCAGCTGAGTTAGAGGGTCTTTCGCCACACCTGTGGCATTCCAAGTGGCAGCCCAGAACTGTTTCTGCGCCTCTGTGCACCTCCCACGCGGGGTGGCCCCTAAGCCCCTTACGTGCAGCTTTTCCGGCACCCCCCTGGCCCCCATGGTCCTCTAAAGTGACAGTATCAATCAGCTGCCCTTTTAATTCGGCCAGATGCTCACTAGGACTGGACCCACCTTGTCTGTTCCCATCACTGCTCTGCCTCTCTGCCTGCCTGTCCTTCAGGATAGGACTACGCCCTTTCAGGACTAAGCCCCCCACTGAGGTCTGCTAAATGGCATATTATATTATTATTATTATTATTTTAAGTTTCTTTGGAAATCCAATGGCGGCTGTACAAAAGGCTGGCCCTCTCAATCTGATTGGCCTGCAGCCCTGTCAATCACCCTTCACACCTCTGTTCATCCAACCAATCAGAGTGCTTGGACGCACTCCAGGGCTTCACCCGCACACCTCAAGTTAGAGTATGTTCACCTGCCTTCTCGAGAAGAAGCAAGTATTGTGTAATAACGGACTCCAACATGCTGTTTTCCTATCTTGAAGTGTTGTGCATCCAATCGAACATCTAAGTATTGTGAAATATGTATAGGTGTGTGCAATGTCTGACCCTTGCAGGACTAGGCCTATTTGCTAGGTTTTGGGTGTTTGAGAGTAAAGTTTGTTATGGTTATCTTGTAGCTAATGCTAGTGCTATTGTTATTCATTAATGTCTTTGCATTGCCATATTATCAGTAGCCTATTGCATTTCTACCTATTGAGTGTTGCTAATGAACTTTATATTAGAAGTGTTTATCACATGCTACCGCAGGGATTTATATAGCATTATATGCTACTGTTATTATCAGGAACTTTCCAGCCTGCTCTCGTGCGCTAGCACATGCGCAGTAACTAATTGCCTTACATAAGATCTGTAGCCAGGCCATAGAGCGAGCCATGCCTTAATGGCCTTAGGTCTTCCATTTCTCTCTTTCTGTCACATGGTTATTTTTTATGATGTGTAAATATCCCTGGGTTGCAAGCTATATTACAGCAGTCATTTGTAGGTATAATATCATGCATTATGTTTGTACATCTCCTTGACTTGCATGTAGACTTTGTATATTATTACAATGGCGTAGGCCTATATTTTTGTGTATTGCTCTGCATGGATCCTAATGATTGTTTACTCTGCCTTTTGTAGAACCACATCTATAAAAAACCCTTCAATGGAAGCAGCTGTGTCCGCATGTGTGTGTGTGTGGTGGTGACAATTAAGACAGTAATGGGACTCAACATTGTGTTCTAACTGGACAACACTGTAGTGAGCAGAACCTAAGCAATCAGCGTAAATTAATAGCGGGCCAACCGCTCAGACGAGCTCCAGCTAGACGTTTTTTCATGGTCCTAGGTCTCGCAGGATTTAGTGACCAACAGTTATTTTCAGGAGCATTTTCTCAATTCAAACGAACCACCTGCAACTGGACATGGACATTTTAGAAGACACATGTTTGGCCGAATCAAGAACGAAGATAGTATCCAAGTTAAGGTTCGTCGAAAATTGTCTGTGCTACGCCAAACAGTATCTATCCTGTAACTGCTAATGGAGCATCACATTAGCCTGTTACAATCTGCTAGCTAAGATACGTGCAAATTCTATATCATTTAGTTTGAAGGATGGCCTGCCTAAGGTTCTACCCTAACATATACCTATCTGTCTGGACAGTGTAATCCAACTAAGCTACATGATACCGTATGATATGTCTGGCCCATATCCTGTGTGCTCTGGAGAGTGCTAGCATTAGAAGGGGTGTAGTGACATAGAACCACCTCGTCCTAAGGGTCACAGTGCTACACCCTGAGGTACACTGTGCACTGTGCTGCAGCCGGGCTACCTGTGGCCCTGATTTCCTGTCTATTGTCTACATTTCTATGAATGTACTTTAAACAGGCGGGTCGCTGCGGCCTGAAATCGAAACTCGCAGTGTAAATATTTTGAATTACGGAGGCAGAAAATTTAAAGCGGTGGTATAGAGTCAGTTAAAGGGACGTCTGTTGTTTACACCCCTAAGCCACCCATCAATAGTAAAGAGTCTTGCCTGGCCTACACAGTGACAGCCAACAGCCAAACTACTTGCCAAACAGACAAGGAACTTGAATGATGTTTTCAGAGGAGAGAAGGAAGCAGAGGGAAAAAAACAATAGGCAAAGCTGCCTGAGTCCCAGTCCAAGACAGAGTTGCTGCTGTTTGAATCCCAAACTCAAAACAGCTGTACCCCAAAAAAAGGGACGGCAGTAATATTTATAACAGGTTTCACACGCGCAAGAACCCCAACCTCCATCCATCCAGCCCCCCATCCCCACACAGCTATCCCCATCTTTGGAGCGGGCATCTCCACAGACACCCCGGCAGAGGGCCTTATTTATCTGGCGGTGAGACACAGGAAAGATTGTTCCAATTAGTGATGAGTCAGGGAGCAGAGGAAGATTTACAGTGGAGATCAACACTTAGACAGCACTGCTGCTCCCGCACACACCACCATCCTCCCCTCTATTCACTAGGCCAAATAAAGATACAGTATGTGTGTGTTTGGAGGGGGGAAGACTGCAGGTGTTTGTACGCCGGGAGCTGTGTGTGTGTGTGTGCTCACACGCGTGCGTGGTGCATGTGTGTGCACACTCGTATGTCTGTGTGTAGGCGTGCATGTGTATGTGTGCATCTGGGGACCCAAAGCTCAACCCGGAGTGTTCCAAAGCATCCCAGGAGTTTGGTCCAGTTTCCAGAGTGGATAATTTTCAAGATCCCGTTACATGCCATGGCAATGGGGTTCTTCAGCCTGAGTTATGGCTTATAAATGGGAGGTGTAAGGGTACAGCTGGGTGACAGATAGCCTCAGCGATGGGAATTATTGCAGGGAATGTTGACGTGGGGGCTAGCGGGGGTCCTGAGGCTACCCTCATTATCTGGATTTAATGGGTGTGTGGACCACCCCTCCAATGCCCCCCTCCATTGCTCCCCCACTCCAGTACCCTCAGTGAGCAGCAGCAGGGTTTATGGGAAGTGAAGTGGGCCCGGGAGCCCAACCTCTTGGTAGATGAATTAGCCGACCCAAACCTGGAGAAGAATTAACAATGTTAGATTCAAGCCAGGGCCGATGGGACGCCTCTCGCTCTCTCTCACACACTCTATCTAGCTCACCCTCTTTCTCTCTCCCTCTCATTCTTATATATCTGTCTCTCTCTCTCTCTCTACAGTGATAGAGAGGGTTGAATGTGTTTTAGCATGTGTCTGGGCCCAGTGGACAGTAGTTTACAGTCGCTTTGCCGCCGTAAGCCTCTGATGGTGACTCATACTGAGTGGGAGGCAATAGAGAAAGTGCACTGCCTACGTGAAAAAATTACTATAGTATACTATGGTAAAAATAGTATAGTATTTACTGTAGTGTTTTGCGGACTTTACTGTAATATTCACAGTAGTGTTTCTGCGGACTAAAATCTGAAAAACACTACAGTGAATACTGTAGTATTTACTGTAGTATACTGTAGTCTTTACTGTTAACTATAGTATAAATACTGTAGTAAAATAAAATGGTAGTATATACTATAGTAATTAATGTAGTGTTTTTGCAGATTGTATTATATTGTAGTGTTTTTGAGGACATTACTGTAGTATTTACTATAGTATTTTTGTTTTATTATATTTTACATAGAATTGAAGGCTTTCTCCTTGAGGAAACCTACTGGAGAAATATTAAAAGAGCATATTTTCCATAACCTGTAGGTTATCAAGGGAGGCCAAATACTTGCTGGCATCAATAATAAAATGCTACGGGAGTTATACTCTTTACATGGGCTACACATACTGAGACAGAGGGGTGCTGTTTCCCTTGCTTGGATGATTTGCAAATTGACGGAAAATTATGAAAACACAGACGAAATAGATTGTTTTATAAAAAATAAATAAATATTGGTCAGATATTTGGGGAAGCCTGGCATCCCATGACATCCATGAATACATGCCACTGTAGATAGGTCTACTTTCACAATTAATTAGTGGAAGGCTGCAGCAGTATTGTCTTCTCCCCAAACTGTTAAACTCAATCAAGCGTAATTTGATCACAGAAAGACAATTTGCTTGTCTCCCTCTCCAGTTGGATTTTTTTTCTTCTTTTTTTTCTTAAACTGGGCCCATAAGAAAAAAACATAAATTATGAATTGGCAAAGATGAATGCTAATTCTCTCTCTCTCTTCTGCATTGACTGATATGATTAGAAATGTTGAAGTATGGGCTATGTGCATTACATTTAGGGAATGCATGTGAAGTATGATTTGTCTGCAAATGTTCTATAAAACTAATTGTTTTAGGCTTGTTTGGCCATCTGAATTCCCCCCAACATCCTTTTCATATTGGAAGTTTTATTTTGGCCTAGTTTAGTATCAGGCAATATTTTGCAACAGCTTGAAACTTTACTCCTAATACTGCCCAATATGATATTATCGCATTTTTTTGTCAAACTCAAACTGACAGAATGTTTTTCAATCAGGCGAATTTCTAGGGACTTTTTAGTCCCAAGTCACACCTTGGACATCTCTCACCTCTTGTTCAACTCGTAGATCCAGATATCATATCCTTATGGCTTAATGATGGATTCCCTAATGATGAGAGTTCCATCTTCTGGGAAGGCAATCACTCAGGTTGTGCTATTTGGCTGAAAGCAGCCATTTTCTTCCACCTGAAATATTCGTAGTGAAGCTTTCACCTGATTTTTTTATATGTTGACCCTCTGAACCCCATTGACTGGGGTCTCTAGTGTCTGCAGCCCAGTTGCTAACATTTATAGACACATGTAAGAGAGACCCCCTTTGGGAGGCCCCATTTCTGCCAAGTGAAAAACACAAGGTATTTAAGGTGGTCCATGTTGCAGCAGCAATGTGGTAATTTCAGTTGAAAGTCTCACGTTAACATTCCAATCTGGAAACTGGATCATTCCAGTTATAAGAATAATCCTGTAGGAAAAAGAAATGGACACCAACATGTTGTCAATGGACAGTCTTTGGGACTACCAGCATTACAGGCAGTTAATCCTGAGAATAAGTATAAAACCTCTCTCGATTAAAGTGCCGTAGAATAGTTACTGTAATCTAACATTAATCATTAGTGTTCGCGCTATTGAAATACGACTGGATAAAAAAATCCCTCCAACACCAGATCTGACAATAAATCACTTTTGTGTTTTTTACTTTGAAACAGTTATTCCCAAATCACATGCATCTGGCCTGTACCCGTGGCAGGACAGCCTCTCCATCAAGGCTGGGTCGGGAGAGGCCAACAGTTGGTTGACACATGACTTTGATTCCAATAAATGGTCCCAAAATGGTTAATATCTTGGCCACAGGAGGTTGATATGAATTTATGCGACATTCCATGGGTAATCCATCCCATCTGTTGACCACGCCCCGGGGGAATCAGCAGCTATAATAAGGGGAGAAGAGTCATTTGGAATGGGGTCATTTATGGGGTCCAGGGCCTCTGGCACTACTCCCTCCCCTCCACTTTATTTTAGTGGAGATCCCTCTCTTTTTATGTGGCTTCAGGAGAGCTGCGGGGCATAGGTTGCAGCCATAGTTGGTAGAGATGAAAAATCTGAGACTACTTTGTTTCGCAGTTTGTGGTGGGAGGAGAGTTGAAATCAAAATTACACGTCTCCTCTGTTTGGGCATTGAGGCACACGCTAGCATTGTTATGGGGAGATTTTTGGGTCAACATGAATGTATGGGATAAATACATGAACAACAGATAGATAATCATCAACAAACAGTTTACTAATGGTTAACAAACAGTTGATAAACAGATGTTCCAATGTAGTGTTACCAGTTAGGGCATAGGTCTCCGAGAATGCTGCCGTGAGCGTGATGAACTATCAATGCGGACGGCTAGTCTGATCATCTGAGACTGCTACAATATCAGCAATTAAAACTCTTTGGTTTTGGTAGCCTGAAATCGATAACCAACGGAAGTCCTGGCTATTACACATGAATGTTCACAATATTGTATTGTACTGTCCTAGATGTTTGTTATTTGTGTAACTTTGTCCTCAGGCTAGAATGTCTGGTGAGACTATGATTTGTGCATAGTGGGTCTACTGCGTAGCCTGCTATGTCTATGTTTTGTGTTGTAACCTTAGTCTTTTTGAACCACTCCAAACAAGAAGTTCCTTCACTGGAAAAATAAAGTTATTCTAATTGTAATTCTTGATGAGCATTGCAGGTGTGGTTGACTTCACCCCTCTGGGATTGACTCCGCCCATATATGGATGACTCTGCCTCTTTGTGACTGACCCCATCACTCTGTGTTCTGTCCTAACAGGAACTCTCCTGACGACTGCAGCATGGGGAAGAACAGGAAATTGTCCAGCGGAGGTGAGGGCACTGCCCCCGTCACATACAGCAGCTACCTGGAGGACAAGCTCATCGCTCCCCCCAACATGACCACCAACGAGCGCCGCGTCATCGTTCCCGCAGGTAACAGAACAGCTCAACACCACAAATTACACCACAGTGATCTGAACACCAGAACACTTTTCTATAGACAGCTGAAGCTCTTAGTTAGATCTGCTCTATTACATTGGGTCGACTCACCTGTCTTCAATTGAGATGATAATCAATGTGCACATGTAAACATAGCTAAAGAGGACCCGCTTTGTAATGAGAAGCAGGATGTTTCCCTCTCTGGTTAAAGGAGCCTTCAATACCAGTCCCAGTCAGTCAGGCCCAGTATGTGGGTCACTCACTGCCTTCGATAAGGGGACCTCATGTCTCTCACATACAGTGCATTCATTTGCCACAAGGAGAGACTTCCTGTGATCTGCAGCACAGAAGCCCCAGCGTTTTGTTGCCGAGTGTGCTGCTCATTGTCCTAGACCGTTTCCTATGGTCCCGGTCCAAAGGGGTGGAGTAAGGATGAGGGTGAAGGAGGGGGCTGTGAGTCCCTGCCAAACTGGAGAAAGGTATTATTATCAGTTCCCCATTCACACACCTAGAATACAAGAACTGAATCCTGACTGGAACACACATAAGGCTGTGCTGTGTCTGTGTGGAAAAAATATGCTGTAGAGTAGCCAAAATAAAGCACCTTTTTAACTTTTTTAGAGTAATTTTTCCACAGACAGACCTGTCCATTGAGGGCACGCAGCACTGTATTCTCTATCTGGGGGTTGTGCATCACAGTTCTTCTGGCATAACGCAACTTCCTCTTCAACTGCAGCTGACAAGGACAATGACGCGGCATGTTAAGAACATCCTGTTTTTGCTGTTTAGTTAGAGGAGGACAATAGGCACACACTGCTTCATGGAATGTAATGGGAGGTCATCATTCAACTGTGTGTGTGGGGGGGGGGGGGGGGGGGGGGGGGTGTTGTGAGAAGGTCACACTGGTGACTTTTTATAAGGACATTATACTCCAAAATGAGTTAAAACTAAATTATGTTGACACCATCTGAAATATAATTTTGCCTTTTAAAGCATTATAACCTTTAGCCCAACTGATGCTTGCCTGGTTACGCACACTCCTTGTTCCAGCCAAACGCTGTGCCACGCCCACGTACGTTTGTTTCTTCTCCACAATGAGTCTGGATCTGAGTACCTCCCAGACAATTTCTAAAACGGAAACACATTCTAACCATTCTGATTGGTCCCAGAAACTGATGTGTTGTGCCAGAGTCAGAACACACGTGGGTAAAGCGCCTATTTGAAAGTTCGTCATTGGCTTTGATACTCTGATTGGTTAGAGATGATCCGCTGATGACACCCCTCTTTTTGCTTTATTTTTTAGAACACCTACTCATTCAAGGGTTTTTCTTAATTTTTTTACTATTTTCTACATTGTAGAATAATAGTGAAGACATCAAAACTATGAAATAACACATATGGGATAATGTAGTAACCAAAAAAGTGTTAAACAAATCAAAATATATTTTATATTTGAGATTCTTCAAATAGCCACCCCTTGCCTTGATGACAGTTTTGCACACTCTTGGCATTCTCTCAACCAGCTTCACCTGGAATGATTTTCCAACAGTCTTGAAGGAGTTCCCATATATGCTAAGCACTTGTTGGCTGCTTTTCCTTCACTCTGCGGTCCGACTCACCCCCAAACCATCTCAATTTGTTGAGGTTGGGGGATTGTGGAGGCCAGGTCATCTGATGCAGCACTCCATCACTCTCCTTCTTGGTCAAATAGCCCTTACACAGCCTGGAGGTGTGTTGGGTCATTGTCCTGTTGAAAAACAAGTGATAGTCCCACTAAGCCCAAACCAGATGGGATGGCATATCGCTGCAGAATGCTGTGGTAGCCATGCTGGTTAAGTGTGCCTTGAATTCTAAATAAATCACAGACAGTGTCACCTGCAAAGCACCCCCACACCATAACACCTCCTCCTCCATGCTTTACGGTGGGAAATACACATGCAGTGTATCCCCCCTACCTTGTCACAACACAACTGATCGGCTCAAACGCATTAAGAAGGAAATAAATTCCACAAATTAATTTTTAAGAAGGCACACCTGTTAATTGAAATGCATTCCAGGTGACTACCTCATGAAGCTGGTTGAGAGAATGCCAAGAGTGTGCAAAGCTGTCATCAAGGCAAAGGGTGGCTATTTGAAGAATCTCAAATATAAAATATATTTTGTTTAACACTTATTTGGTTACTACATGATTCCATATGTGTTATTTCATAGTTTTGATGTCTTCACTATTATTCTACAATGTTGAATTAGTAGGTGTTCCAATTTTGTGATATCCACTTGTTAGTTACTGTCACGCCCTGGCCTTGAGAGCCCTGTTTTCTTTGGTTGGTTTGGTCAGGGTGTGAATTTCTATGTGTACATTCTATGTTATTGTAGATCTATGTTGGCCGGGTGTGGTTCCCAATCAGAGGCAGCTGTCGATCGTTGTCTCTGATTGGGGATCATACTTAGGTAGCCATTTTCCCTACCTATGTTGTGGGATCTTGACTCTTGTTTGGCTTGTTTGTGTGTAGCCATTGTGAGCTTCACGTTACGTTGCTTTTGTTGTTTTGTCGTGTGTTTTCTTAGTTAATAAACATGTATGCATTCCACGCTGCACCTTGGTCCAATCCTGTACTCAACGAACATGAGAGAAGATCTCACCACCAACGGACCAAGCAGCGTGCCCAGGAGGAGCAAACACCCTGGACACAGCGGGAGGCAACATTGGTGGATGTCCTCCTCGGTTGGGGGAAAATTACAGAGGAGGAAGCCGTCCGTTACGGTAAGGTAATGGAGGAGGGCTGGAGTCCGGATCAACGGTGACGCCAACGGTGCCGACGACGAATGAAGCCCGAGAGACAGCCCCAATAACATTTTGGGGGGGGGCTGTTAGAGAAGAGGGAGCAGGAGCTCTCACTTCAGAAGAAGGCGCTGCAGGAGGCCCAAAGGGAGAAGGGATTAGTGGATGCAAGGAGAGAGGAGCTGGCCAGGCAACAGGAGGAGCTGAGAGAGGAGTTAACCCTCCAGCAGCAGAGAGCTCGGGCTTTAGAGCAGAGGCTGGCGGAGCCAGGTTTATCAGAGCCAACTCCCCGTACTCGCCGTAAGGAGCGTGTGTTAATTGAGGAACCAAGTTATGCGGAGATACGCACTGTGTCGCCAGTGCGCCTTCACAGCCCAGTGCGTCCTGTGCTGGCGCCCCGCACGTGCCGTGCGAAAGTGGGCATCCAGCCAGGACGGGTTGTGCCAGCTTTACACTCCAGACCTCCAGTGCGCCTCCACGGTCCAGTATATCCTGCTCCGGTTCTACGCACTGGGTTACCAGTGCGCCTCCCCAGACCGGTACGCCCCGTACCTACTCCCCGCACCAAACCAGTGGTGCGTGTCGCCAGCTCGGTACGCCCCGTACCTGCTCCCCGCACCAAACCAGTGGTGCGTGTATCCAGTCCGGTACGGCCCGTACCTGCTCCCCGCACCAAACCAGTGGTGCGTGTATCCAGCCCGGTACACCCCGTACCTGCTCCCCGCACCAAACTAGTGGTGCGTGTATCCAGTCCGGTACGGCCCGTACCTGTTCCTCGCACCAAACCAGTGGTGCGTGTTGCTAGCTCAGTACGCCCCGTACCTGCTCCTCGCACCAAACCAGTGGTGCGTGTCGCCAGCCCGGTACGCCCCGTGTCTGCTCCTCGCACCAAACCAGTAGTGCGTATCTCCAGTCCGGTACACCCCGTGCCTGCTCCTCGCACCAGATCAGTGATGCGTGTACCCAGCCCGGTACGGCTGGTGCCAGAGCAGTCCGCTCCACCAGTGTCCAGTCCAGCTCCGGTCAGCTGCTCCACTCCAGTGCCATAGCAGTCCATTCCACCGGTGCCTAGTCCAGCTCCGGTCAGCTGCTCCACTCCAGTACCAGAGCAGTCCGCTCCACCGGTGCCTAGTCCAGCTCCAGTCAGCTGCTCCACTCCAGTGCCAGAGCAGTCCGCTCCACCGGTGCCTAGTCCAGCTCCGGTCAGCTGCTCCACTCCAGTGCCAGAGCAGTCCGCTCCACCGGTGCCCAGTCCAGCTCTGGTCAGCTGCTCCAGTCCAGAGCCAGAGCAGTCCGCTCCACCGGGGTCCAGTTCAGCTCCGGTTAGCGGCTCCACTCTATTGTCAGAGCAGTCCACTCTACCGGTGCCTAGTCCAGCCCCGGTCAGCTGCTCCAGTCCAGAGCCAGAGCAGTCTGCTCCACCGGGGTCCAGGTCCAGACGGACCAGGGGTGCAACGGGGAGGCAGTAAGGGAGAGGACGTCACGCCCGGAGCCGGAGCCGCCACCGAGGCTGAATGCCCACCCGGACCCTCCCCTAATGAGTCAGGTTGGTGCGGCCGGAGTACGCACCTTTGGGGCGGTACTGTCCCGGTTTTCTTTGGTTGGTTTGGTCAGGGTGTGAATTTCTATGTGTACATTCTATGTTATTGTAGATCTATGTTGGCCGGGTGTGGTTCCCAATCAGAGGCAGCTGTCGATCGTTGTCTCTGATTGGGGATCATACTTAGGTAGCCATTTTGCCTACCTATGTTGTGGGATCTTGACTCTTGTTTGGCTTGTTTGTGTGTAGCCATTGTGAGCTTCACATTACGTTACTTTTGTTGTTTTGTCATGTGTTTTCTTAGTTAATAAACATGTATGCATTCCACGCTGCACCTTGGTCCAATCCTGTACTCAACGAACGTGACAGTTACAGTCTTGTCCCATCCCTGCATCTCTCGTATGGACTCGGAAGTCGGGAGCCATGCGTCCTCTGAAACACGACCCTGCCAAGCCACACTGCTTCTTGACACACTTGCTTAACCCGGAATCCAGCTGCACCAATGTGTCTGAGAAAACACCGTACAACTGGCGACCGTGTCAACGTGCATGCGCCTGGCCCGCCACAGGAGTCGCTAGAGCGCAATGGGATAAGGACATGCCGGCCAAACCCTCCCCTAATCTGGACAACGCTTGGCCAATTGTGCGCCTCCTCATGGGTCTCCCGGTCGCGGCCGCCTGCGACACATCCCGGGATCGAACCCGGGTCTGTGGTGACACCTCAAGTACTGCGATGCAGTGACTTAGACCGCTGCGCCACTCGGGAGGCCCCTCATTTTAACCTCACCACAAACAACTTCAACAATTCAGTTTGAGTTGTCAGGCAAAACTGATGCAACATAGCGACTTTAAATAATAGGCTAAAGCATGGGGTTGCCCATCTGCATTTACCTAATTGAAAACCCCAAAAGACTCAATGCATCAAATGCTACAAATCAGTGGCGGTCATTGCCGTTTAAGATCAGGAAGGACAAAACATTTTTATTCTCATGAGCATGGCCTTATTTCTATTACAGCATATTGGATGACTGTCATTCATATTCCATTCACCCAGTTCAATTTAACATCGATAGGTTTAGGCTACTACATGATACTCAAATTTTCCCTATACCCCATCATGAGGTTGCTACAAACTAGCCTATGAATGTACAGGTCGAGAGAAAAATTTGAGGTGACAGACAGTGACACATGGACAGACAGTGACACATTCAATACCGCCTTGCACACTCTTGCCTGCATCTAGGTGATCTAGGGTGTAACCATTAGTCCAACAGTTGCAAACAAGAGTTTCTATTGGACAAATCCAGGTTTGTTTATCCCCGTTTCGTGCCGTTTTCTACTGTTTAAGAAAAGTTTTACAACAGAATCGGCGGAATGAATATGTGCATGATGTATTGTTGTCTCTACCTTGCCTTTGTGCTGTTGTCTGTGCCCAATAATGTTTGTACCATGTTTTGTGCTGCTAACATGTTGTGCTGCTGCCATGTTGCGTTGCTACCATGTTGTTGTCATGTGGTGTTGCTACCATGCTGTGTTGTCATGTGTTGCTGCCATGCTATGTTGTTGTCTTAGGTCTCTCTTTATATAGTGTTGTGGTGTCTCTCGTCGTGATGTGTGTTTTGTCCACATTTTACATTTTTAATCCCATCCACCGTCCTTGCAGGAGGCCTTTTGCCTTTTGGTAGGCCGTCATTGTAAATAAGAATTTGTTCTTAACTGACTTGCCTAGTTAAATACAAATAAAATAAAAAATACACCTCTGATCAGACGTAAACACAGTTCACTTTCATAGCAGCCAAGTTGTATTCCTTCTCGCATGTATGCCCTCTCCTCCTCTCACCTTTTCCCTTCGCATATGGACTTCAATTAAGCAATAAGGCCCAAGGGGGTGTGGTATATGGCCAATATACCGCGGTTAAGGACTGTTCTTATGCAGGACGCAACGTGGAGTGCTAGGACACAGCCCTTAGCCGTGGTATATTGGCCATATATCACAAACCCCAGAGGTGCCTTATTGCTATTATAAACTGGTTACCAACATAATTAGAGCAGTAAAAATACATGTTTTGTCATACCCATGGTATACGGTATGATATACCACGGCTTTCAGCCAATCAGCATTCAGGGCTCGAACCACCAAGTTTTTAATGCACAACACATCAGCTGTATGTGACCAGGCGAAAAAAAATGTTCCAAGCCAAACCATATCATAACCGCTACACACAGCCTACATCGTTGTCACCATATTAGCTAAAGAATGTCATAGTCAACATAGCTAATAGAACTAACACGTTAGTAAACCTGCTACAATCATGCAGTAACGTTACAGTGTACAGTCAGTAAGCAGTTACACCGGCGGGCTCCGGTGGCAATAAATTAGTAAAACCAAAAGCTTACCTTGACTTGGAAGAGTTCCAGTGTTGTGTTTGATAGTCATAGCTAACATAGCATCCGTCTGTTTGAGCCGGGTGTTTGAGTAGGCTAAACTAGCTAGCTAGCTGCATTTACTAGCTAAGTAGCTAACTGAAAGTGAAAGTTTAAAAAATAAACTAAATATAGCTATCGCTTTCTCTCTCTCTCTTGGTTCTCCTTCGTTTTTCAAGAAATGTATTTGTTCAAAACTGTTTAACTATTGTCTTTCTCTCTCTTTGAGTGAACTACTCGCCACATTTTATGCACTGCAGCGCTAGCTAGCTGTAGCTTATGCTTTCAGTACTAGATTCCTTCTCTAATCCTTTGATTGGATTGACAACATGTGAGTTCATGCTGCAAGAGCTCTGATAGGTTGGAGGATGTCCTCCGGAAGTTGTCATAATAACTGTGTAAGTCTATGGAAGGGGTTGAAAACCATGCGCCTCCTAGGTTTTGTATTGAAGTCAATGTACCCAGAGGAGGACGGAAGCTAACTGTCCTCGGCTACACCATGGTGCTACCCTACAGAGTGCTGTTGAGGCGACTGTAGATCTTCATTGCAAAACAGTGTGTTTTAATCAATTATTTGGTGACGTAAATATATTTTGTATAGTTTTATCTAAAAAGGATAACGTTTTAAATGTGTTCCTATTTTAATTTTTATTAAACTAAGTGAGGAGGATGGTCCTCCCCTTCCTCCTCTGAGGGGCCTCCACTGCTACAAATATACGTTGGAACTTGACACACCAGGGTTTTTTTCTTGAACAAAATGGGGCTTAGGTGGTGGGCGTGGGGGGGCGTGGTAATGGACGTGGCCAATGGCGTGGTCTCCAATCAAACATTTTAGAGGCCCTCCTCTTGGCTGCAGAGACAACATTTAGCTTTTAAAAAGTTAATTTCCTGCAATTCTACCATATTTTGTCATTGGGCTGAGAGAAAAAATGGCCATTTTATAGCAAATGTTCTACAATTCTACACATTTTGCAATGGCTTATGCTGTGTTCTTATGCTAGCTGAGTGACTCAAACATTATAACAAAATCAATGGGGGCCCCATGCCATGACATTTTTTAAATTTTAGATAATCTCCGACTGTCTAGTTACTATTTTTGTGATTTTTTGTTCTCAAAGATGATCTTATTAAAAAATATATAGGTCCATGATCTTTTCTACATACATTTGGTGTTAGTCGTTTAGGTTTACACTGAAAACCTTTTGCCATCCCGAAAAGGATTAGTGGCCCCCCTTACTCCATAGGGCTCTGGTCAAAAGTAATGCACTATGTATGGAATTTGGGACACTGGGCCGTTGCTGCTAAATATGGCTGGACAGGAGGGCCAGACGACGGTGTGGTTTGTTTCTGTACGGGTCAGCTGTTTTTGGATCCTGTTATGTGTGTGCCAAAAGAAGGTGTGCCAAACTGGTGGGTTCCTGTGAGTGAGTGGGTACCAGTTGTATGATCTCTGGGAAATAAAGTGTCAACGTTCTAAACACAGTTCTCAGCAAAGTCATGTAATTGGAAAATTGTAATTGCAAAATGTTAAATTAATTTAGAAAATGTTGGTTGATAAAAACCGATTTCATTGCAAATGTACACTCAAATCTATTATCATATAAAGAATGGGAGTAAGTATGAACTGTAAGAAAATAAGTAAGTATGAAGGTAAGAGTTTACTATGAGCTCCATTCTCCTTGACCTTGGGATAAATTGTTCCACTGCCCCAGTTCCCTGCTCTAGTTCACCTGCATAGTGTTAACACATATCCCTCCCCTCCTATGTCATGTCCATGGCCTGGCAGATCCCACGCTGTGGTCCACGGAGCATGTGCGCCAGTGGCTGGAGTGGGCAGTGAAGGAGTATGGCCTGCTGGACGTCGATGTGGCTCTCTTCCACAACGTGGACGGCAAAGACCTGTGCAAGATGTGCAAGGAGGACTTCCAGAGGCTCACGCTCAGCTACAACGCAGACATCCTGCTCTCCCACCTCCACTACCTCAGAGAGAGTGAGTCTAGTATCTTCCTTCTCCTCCTCATCATCCCTCTCTCCTCTCCTCCCTCTACATGCTCCTGCCTTCTGCCACCCTTCCCCAGCTGGCCAACACAATGCAATGGCAGGCAGTAAAGAGAGAGGCTACAAAGGGGTACTATTGAAGGGCTGCTGTGGTCTGGTGGTCCATATTTTTTCTACCTCTATACTGAGCTCTCATTGACATTCTCCAGAGGGCCTCAGCTACTTTGCTTGACTGCAGATTAGAATGAAACCTGGTGAAGGAGTCCCTGTTGTTGCTGCTTCTGCTGCTTTGGCTGAATGACTCACTGCTCCAAGACCTGCTTTCCTGTCCTCTGACACCTCACCTCCTCTCTACACACACATGCATTTGTGCATGTCGTCCACATGCTTCTTCACATGCACACACACACACACACACACACACACACATTCTGGTTTTAAGTTGTTAACAGTAGATGTTACAGTGGTAGCTGTGTAGTAGTAGTAGGAGTAATGGTGGCAGTAGTGTAACATTAATAAAATAATTAACAGTATATGTTCTTGAAGAGGAATAGGTACACTACATCAATAAAGTCATTATTGGCACCCATCTTAAGAAGCGTATCTGTTTATAGTCATAGGAGAAGGTTTTTCAGACTCTTGAGATTATGTTTATCTTTGATACTCTCTCTCTCTCTGCTCTCCAAGAATAGGGGAGTCCAAGTTCCATTTGATTGTGCAGAGAACTTTCCAATGAACCATTACCCTTCTCATAGTGACTGCTAGTGGTTTTGTTTGTTTGATATCAGTGTCGGTTTTGGTAGGGTTCACCCACAGATGTGCAGAGGAGGTGAGTGATGGGAGAAAGAGGAGAACCAAACAGATAGAGCCAACCAGACAGAGAAATGAGAAGCCAGATAGCTTGAGGAGTTCAGAGTTTAGTGTGGTGTACCACCACCTTCTGAACAGGGGTGTTGTTCATTTTTGGGTGTCATCATTATGTGCCATTCAGACTAAATGTAGGTACAGTACAACATCGGGCGATTCCACAACAGGACAGGCCTATGTCTAGATACTGAAATACAATTTACACATTCATATATTAAACATAAAAAATATTAATATGAATATCTCAAAATTTTTGAAGATATGACCCATTTTATACATTGACGTTATAGGTCATTAACCAATCCCAGCCCTCCTTTAGGATTGCACATTCAGCAAATCACCAGCAGAGGGAGGTCCATTTGAATCAATTTTCCCATTCACTGTGTTGGTGGTGCTCATAAAATGTATCATAACTTCAAAAGTATATTGTTCCAAACAATATGTCTTAAAATTAACAAAATCAAAATGGGGACTTTTGAGATATGAATATGAATATGTTGAATGTTTCATTTAATTTTAGAATCTTGAAATACTTCATATGTTAGAGCATGCTATAAGGAGTATAAAGGCACCAAGATGTTGTGTATCATGTACGGTTCACTGATCATAGGGTCTTACAGGAGGCATGTATATGTCTAAAAAGGGCCTTAACACTTTCATCATGATTTTTATCCAAAGTGTTTGTTGTAAAAATGTACAAATCATGTCAAACATTCTTCCTCCTAATGATGTTTCTATGTAGAAATTGCCAGAACCATATGAGATACCCAAAATATTGCCCCATTGCATTATTCCACAATCCTGTGCTTGAAGTGCTCTTGATATGCATGAGTCTCACAAAAATCTTTTGAATGGCCTTTTCTTAAACATTCCTTTTAGTGTAATCACCAGTTCCCACACCCTCATTGAAATACTGTGGGCAGTTTGAAATTGATAAGAGAGAATTGCCAATAAGCCTACTTAGCTGTCTCCAAATACTTATTTTTTGCTGGCCCTATATGAAAAATGGTCTGAAGACCCTGACGGTGGCTGACTTTGGCTTTGAGGTCTGCTCGACTGGAAAATACACTAGTGATGGGGGGGGGGGAAAGAAGAAAGCCCTTACAAGCTTTCCTTTCATCCCTCCCTCCTCTCTCCTCCTTTTGTTTTTGGCAATGGCTGCTGCTTCTCTTTCCCCCTCGTGTACACACGCTCGCCGAATTTACTCTGGAGGAGGGAAAATTGGAAAAGCGATGGATTCTCACAGACGAATGTGGGTACGAGTGATTAACTGTTTATTTGGGTTGGCCCTCCCTGCCATTGTCTCCCCTCTAGCTTTGGCGATGTGTGCCACACTTACAAGCGCTCTCTCTCTCTCTCTCTCTCTCTCTCTCTCTCTCTCTCTCTCGCTCCCGCTCTCGCTCTCGCTCTCGCTCTCGCTCTCGCTCTCGCTCTCGCTCTCTCTCTCTCTCTCTCTCTCTCTCTCTCTCTGTGTATTGCTCCTTGCCTGTTGAATGTTGCCTCTATGGCAGTTCGGAGAGCAACCCTTACCTTAGTGCATCGCTAATGGTCTGTGTTTGTCTAATGGCTGCCCCCCCAATGCATCACTCCTTGCACATCATAGGTTGTTTTGAGCTGTTTTATTTTTTTGGTTCATCTCTTTTTCAAAAGAATGTTTTATTTCTCAGCTCCACTTCCTCACTTGACTTCCGATGATGTTGACAAAGCCTTACAAAACTCCCCGCGGTTAATGCATGCTCGCAACACAGGTAAGGAGTCCCCTGTCCCCCTTCTCTACCTCTGGCTTTGCTCCTGCCACCACAGTATCCTTACACTCACACAGTGCCAACCTATGTATATACAGTGTACTCTTTATATACATTCACACTGCTTTTTTGTATTCATATGATTATCAGATTATACATCAAGTAATCTAATTGTATCTTTTGTTGTTATTATTTCTAATATGTTTTTGTCATGTGGTGCAGAAGTTACTGTATGCTGGTGCAGTTATGCATTGTGGCTGTAGAGCGTAGAGGAAAGCATGTGCTAAAGTCTAACGTTGATGCATAGTGCTGTAATTGTCCCTGTGCTGCATGAAATCCCTCCCCACATGGATATTCGTCAAAGCAATTAAATTGGAACGTTCAGGCAATGTGTCATGAGAAGGTGTGTCATTATGGGTACATAATAATTTACATAATTCATTAATGATCCTCTCTTTCACTCTCCGCAGGAGGTGTGAGTTTTATTTTCCCCAACACTCCCGTTTATCCCACTGACAACTCCCCCAGAGTCTCCGCTAGGCCAGGTGGGTGATTCATCACTCCTATAAGTTTATGTAGATGAGGCATAAGAGCATACTGTAAGCACATCCAATAACACTTGTAGAGGAGCATGGTACAGGGGTAAAGGAGAAACAAGGAACCACACACCTTGCAGACAAAGTACTACGTTTTCAATAGTGCCCAATGCCCATGAACAAATACACATAAACAAAGACGTATTTAGAAGAAGTTCGTCGAAAAAATGTTTTAGAGGTTTAATTAATATTTCAACTCAAGCATCCCTTGCTCTTAAAATAATACTCCAGACTGCAGTAGTTGTGTGTCTGTGTTTGGGACACTTGTATTATAGGAAGTCTGGCAATCCACAACTCTTGCCTCAGACCGATGAGGTGAACCACAGAAATGCACTCACACATCAGCATGTGTTTGATTTTATCATAGCGCCCTCTAGGGTTAAGGTTCATAACTGCAGGCAGCAGATTGACTTGTAATTTATGATATTTTACAGACCTGGCGTATGAAGCAGCTAGAAGATCTGGCTGGGCTCCACAAGCTGTGTCTTCCACCAAAGGTAAGGAATCATAATGTACAGCGCATCGGTCCTTTGTCAAAACATGGCGCTCCCTTTGCTTTTCATCTATTGGGAAATGTGTTAAAGTACATTACAGGGAATTTAAGAGATTAGGCCTACATCTTTACAAGCCTGTAGACTAAACATAAACAAAACAGGCCAGGCACAATCAGAGAACAGGAATTTGGATACCTCAAGATAAGAAGCTATTTCTCCACTGTATACACTTGGAACGTTGCCCTCAAGGAAACCCCCTGTTAATATTTTGGGAACTTCATCCCTCAAGGTTCCCAGCCCTCCCCAACCATTGTCACCAAAACAGAGGAGCAGAGGCCTCATCTAGGTAAAATATAAGCTTGAACTGTACTCTGAAATAGATGTTGATTGAGCTGAAAAAACCTTTCTCCTACTAATGTGAATGTTTGTCACTTCTTAGATCCTTACCAGATCCTGGGGCCCACGAGTAGCAGGCTGGCAAACCCTGGTGAGTTTTAGGGAGGGTGGAAGTAATTATCACTAATTAGACAAGATTAAAGATTTAAGATATTCATATTACAACAAAGGCACCATTTATATACAGTGAGGGAAAAAAGTATTTGATCCCCTGCTGATTTTGTACGTTTGCCCACTTACAAAGAAATGATCAGTCTATAATTTTAATGGTAGGTTTATTTGAACAGTGAGAGACAGAATAACAACAACAAAAATCCAGAAAAACGCATGTCAAAAATGTTATAAATTGATTTGCATTTTAATGAGGGAAATAAGTATTTGACCCCCTCTCAATCAGAAAGATTTCTGGCTCCCAGGTGACTTTTATACAGCTAACAAGCTGAGATTAGGAGCACACTCTTAAAGGGAGTGCTCCTAATCTCAGTTTGTTACCTGTATAAAAGACACCTGTCCACAGAAGCAATCAATCAATCAGATTCCAAACTCTCCACCATGGCCAAGACCAAAGAGCTCTCCAAGGATGTCAGGGACAAGATTGTAGACCTACACAAGGCTGGAATGGGCTACAAGACCATCGCCAAGCAGCTTGGTGAGAAGGTGACAACAGTTGGTGCGATTATTCGCAAATGGAAGAAACACAAAAGCACTGTCAATCTCCCTCAGCCTGGGGCTCCATGCAAGATCTCACCTCGTGGAGTTGCAATGATCATGAGAACGGTGAGGAATCAGCCCAGAACTACACGGTAGGATCTTGTCAATGATCTCAAGGCAGCTGGGACCATAGTCACCAAGAAAACAATTGTTAACACACTACGCCGTGAAGGACTGAAATCCTGCAGAGCCCGCAAGGTCCCCCTGCTCAAGAAAGCACATATACAGGCCCGTCTGAAGTTTGCCAATGAACATCTGAATGATTCAGAGGAGAACTGGGTGAAAGTGTTGTGGTCAGATGAGACCAAAATGGAGCTCTTTGGCATCAACTCAACTCGCCGTGTTTGGAGGAGGAGAAATGCTGCCTATGACCCCAAGAACACCATCCCCACCGTCAAACATGGAGGTGGAAACATTATGCTTTGGGGGTGTTTTTCTGCCAAGGGGACAGGACAACTTCACCGCATCAAAGGGACGATGGACGGGGCCATGTACCGTCAAATCTTGGGTGACAACCTCCTTCCGTCAGCCAGGGCATTGAAAATGGGTAGTGGATGGGTATTCCAGCATGACAATGACCCAAAACACACGGCCAAGGCAACAAAGGAGTGGCTCAAGAAGAGGCACATTAAGGTCCTGGAGTGGCCTAGCCAGTCTCCAGACCTTAATCCCATAGAAAATCTGTGGAGGGAGCTGAAGGTTCGAGTTGCCAAACGTCAGCCTCGAAACCTTAATGACTTGGAGAAGATCTGCAAAGAGGAGTGGGACAAAATCCCTCCTGAGATGTGTGCAAACCTGCTGGCCAACTACAAGAAACGTCTGACCTCTGTGCCAACAAGGGTTTTGCCACCAAGTACTAAGTCATGTTTTGCATAGGGGTCAAATACTTATTTCCCTCATTAAAATGCAAATCAATTTATAATATTTTTGACATGCGTTTTTCTGGATTTTTGTTGTTATTCTGTCTCTCACTGTTCAAATAAACCTACCATTAAAATTATAGACTGATCATCTCTTTGTTAGTGGGCAAATGTACAAAATCAGCAGGGGATCAAATACTTTTTTCCCTCACTGTAAATAGTTGTTTGGTAGTGACTCTTGCTATGAGTAGTTATTGTGGTGTTGACTGTAACACGTCTTTATGTAGTTGTTATGGTGATGACCACCTGTCTCTCTCCAGACTGTATTATAATTGTTACGATATTGACTCCCTGACTCTGTCCAGACTGTATAAGTAATTGTTACATGTTGACTTCCTGTCTCTGTCCAGACTGTGGCCGGGACTCAAACAAACCGCAATCTGCCGACATCGCACTACTCTTGAGCTTTAAAGGTAATTTACGCATGAGCTGACATCCGCAGCGTTTACCCTGAATGGGATCGTTAACTTCAAGTGCAGTGTGATGTCGGCGTAGAGCGGTTTGAATCCCAGACAGTATTAGTAATTGTGACTGTGTTGACACCCTTTCTGCCTGCAGGCTCGGGACAGATCCAGCTGTGGCAGTTCCTGCTGGAGCTCCTGTCAGATAGCGCCAACTCCGGCTGCATCACATGGGAGGGCACCAATGGTGAGTTCAAGATGACCGACCCTGACGAGGTGGCAAGGCGCTGGGGTGAGAGGAAGAGCAAGCCCAACATGAACTACGACAAGCTGAGCCGTGCCCTGCGCTACTACTACGACAAGAACATCATGACCAAGGTGCACGGCAAGCGCTACGCCTACAAGTTTGACTTCCACGGTATCGCCCAGGCCCTGCAGCCCCACCCGCCAGAGTCCTCCGTGTACAAATACCCCTCCGACTTATCCTACATGAGCACCTACCATGCACACCAGCAGAAGGTCAATTTTGTCACGCCTCACCCCCAAGCACTACCCGTCACCTCCTCCAGCTTCTTTGCTGCCCCCAACCCCTACTGGAATTCCCCCACCGGCGGTATCTACCCCAACACCCGGCACCCAGCCGCTCACATGCCCTCCCACCTGGGCACCTATTATTAGACCTACCAGGGGGAGGGCGTCTCGCAACTCTAAAACTGGGAGAAGAAACGGGAATAAACCAGCAAACACAAAGGGCTTCCATTTGGGTAGTTTCAGAACCAGATGAAAACAGGGGCAGGATCAATAATGAAGGAATAATGTAGAGGTAGGGTGTATGAGGTAGAGGTAGGGTGTCATGCCCTAGAATCACTGGCGTAATTCTAGGGCATGAGCAGGTGAGGGAACTCAAGGTTTTTAAAGAATTGAGAGGATTACAGACATGTCGCTATAAGACGATATAGGAGGGGACACTGTAAAAAGGGCAATAGAGGATGTTGCTATGACCAAGGGCATTGTGCGATGTGTCGTTTCTGAGAACAGTGAAAGATAAGTATTTGAGTAGATGTAAAAGGGAGTTATCAGTGGACTATATGATGATCATGTCCTTTTTATGAAGGGCGATAAATATACCCCAAAAATACAATAGCTGCATGAACAGTTGCTTATTATATATGTTTTTTTAAACTATTAAACTATCTTATTTAATGCAGTAAACATATCAAAGACTGTACAGATTAGGCAAGATAAGTGAGATGTAAGTGAGGAGAGGGGTGTGGTGTGGCAGATGAGTGTGTACATCAGAGTACACAGAGGAAGTAGGGAGGAGTACTAAACTTGGCTGTAGTAAACTGTGAAATGAGCACCAGCAGGAAACGCCTTGGGTAGACTTGTGCTAGATGGTCATGTCATATGACCAAATGGATGGACTCACAGACTGTTTGTGACCAAGGGTGGGGTAACATCAGAGAGGATAGCGGATCATCAAAAGACAATGAAATATGTGGAAAATTAAGTATTATTCCTTTGGATATAAACAGCCTTATGTCTTATCAGTATTATTATACTACATGGTAGTGCATATGGCATTATTAAACGTAAAGGAACGTTTTTTTTACTTGATTGTTATTCTTGAAAACAATTCATCAGTGTTTTGGAAATTGAGAAAAACTGGAAATAAGATTAGTAAAATGTTGTGTGACCTCAAAGTCTTTTTAGAAGGAATAGGGGTTTTCTTGACCAGTGCCTAACCACAGAAACTCCCAGTTCAGCTGAAGAGATTTTACGAAGTGCCAATTTTGTATTATTGTTTTTCTGAGTCACGAACGCTGTGCGTTTGTTAGATTGAAGTATACAAGTCAGTGTTATATTTCTTTTTATATGATAAATATATAACTTATGCATTTATACACTACGAGTTGATCTCAGCCAGCCAAAGACACATACAATGTTTTTATAATAGATATAGTGACAAAAAAGTAATTGAAATGGACCAAAGCGGGCAGTAAACAATTAAAAAAACGATTGTCGCCTTTGAACTTTAAGCTCTGTAAACAGTTTACAATATAAACTATATATACTAATCTAAAACTGATTGTGTTGGCCAGGCAAGGCATTTCAGACCTGTTCAGTATTATTTTATGGGATGCAGGGTAGAACACCTATAAGCTGGCAGCCTTGTAAGCTGAGAAACAGGACTGAGATACTGAAATTGTTGACTAAAGGGACGATAAAAATGATATACTTTGATAGATTTTCTACTGTGTCATTTCTAATAAAGTATTTTCAACCAAAGTGCTGTCCTCTCTTGTCTTGGAAGGTCAAAGATCGTCTGTTATTGTGCTCTGTCTGCATACAGTAAAGAGAAGTTGCCCCCATTGTTTTGACCCAACACAGTCAGTGTGTGCCAACAACCAAACGACAGACCTCGTGTTCGTTTCAATCTGTATCGCTGAAGCGTTACAGATTGCACAATAGAAATGTAAAGGTAATTTCCAATTTAGCCGACATATGCAGCGTTTTCCGTGAAGGCAGTCTCCATTGCCTTTAAATTTCAATCACGCTGTAAAACTGAACTTTTGCGATACGGATTGAATAGAGCCGTTAATTGGCTCTACCCTAAGAGATGAGGAGTAGAGCAGTGTGGGATGGGGGTAATGGGAAGGGGGATGCTAGGTGAATTTTAGAGAGCTATTTCTCTATAGATAAAAACATCCCTTCAATCTCAAAATGCCATATGGAACATCACTTCTTCAAAGTCAATGGTTTATTCATAGATACAGAAAAAACACAGCTCTTAAGCACTACACAGCCATCATCTCAAGTGTTGTTCTATCCCCATCTGCCCTTAGCGTGAAATATGTATAATATATTAAAATATCCAACTTGAGTGATACAAAGAAACAACATCTTGAATCTGCTTTCCTGGAATCCTATGTACAGGATAATTATTTATAGTACAGTAACAGTTGCTGCCACAGCTACACTCAAACACCGGCACCTGAGACCCAGTCCTTGTTTTGCCTGTATGTCCATATTCTGCTATTATATGGCTTGTAGATCCAAATGATGTGCTAGTTATACACTGCACCTGCATTTACTCTGACCAGATACACACTGATCATGATGAACATGAGTATAAGCCTAAAAGTGTCAGCATTCACTGTGTATTAGGTTTAGCAGTTATACGAAATAAAAACAGATATATTTCCGTAATGCGTGTTTACAAATTGTTTCTAGACAGTAACTCTGGTAAAACAACCATTAAAGTGGGTCATGTTTATTACCAGTGTCCAACATGTTTGAGCGTCCTCTTATTCCTTCTTGTACTCCTCCAGTTTCAGCTTCTCTTTGTTGTTGCTGAGGAGTGTAGGGTCGCTGCTCACCTGCACCTTGTCAAAGAAGTTAAAGTCGGCCATGTACCGGCCACCCGGGGTGCTGAAGAGCACAGGCTTGAACTCGTAGTCCCACAGGATCTCCTGGGGAACATATGAGGTGTGGCTTTGACACGTGGCTGCCGTGGACTCCATGGTAGCATTAAGGGTGACCAGCAGCTCAAAGTCATGTGTCCGTAACCTCTCGGCAGTCATCCCCGCCAGTGGGCTGCTGTCATCCAGCACGTGGTAGAATGTGAGGGGCAGGATTAGGAAGGGGCACTCCCTGCATGAGTCTATGTAGAAGTCCACAGCCGTCTGGTGGATCAGAGTTTTCTCGCCCTCCTCAGTCACGTTGGGTGAGAGCAGCTTGCCCATCAGCTGGCACTGGATCAGCAGGCTCTTCCTCAAGTTGGCCACACGTACCATCAGACATAGCTTACCATCGCAGCGGCAGATCACTGCCGACTGGCTGAACTTGATGGTCTCTGCCCGCTTTTTGGGTCGTGCCAGCTTGGCCAGGAAGGCCCCGGTCACGAAGATCTCAGCCAGACCCGTGGTGACCAGCTGGACCAGCAGGAAGAAGATGGCCAGCGGACACTCGTCGGTGATGTAGCGGAAACCATAGCCAATGGTGGTCTGCGACTCCAGGGAAAAGAGGAAGGCGCCGGTTAGGGTCTTGACATTCATGACACAGGGAGTGTGGTTGGACAGCAGCTCACCCTCGAAGTCACCGTTGCCCATGCCGATAAAGTAGAAGATGACGCCGAAGAGGAACCAGGTCATTATGAAGGTGGAGGAGAACAGGGTGAGCTTATAGCGCCACTTCATGTCCACCACCGTGGTCCAGATGTCGTGGAGGTAGAGCTTCACCATGCCCTCCACGTTGTCAATGCGCACTTGGTTGTGTCCATTCTTGGAGACGATCCTCCGTTGGACATCTGCCTTCTTGGTGGTCATCTTGTTCTGAAGTGTGTTCTCTGTGGTTGGCGCTTGTTGTCACCCTATTTGCATTGCAAGCAGTGGGACTAAAAAAGAAGAAGCAATGTTAGTCAATGGCAACAAACTAGGACACAGTAGGTAACATAGTTCAGGAATAGTTCAAGCATTAAATGAGCCCTTTGGACAAATGTCAGTAACAAAAACCTTCTCACTGGAGCTACTGTAGTTGGTTGGTTTCATCCAGAAATTAGGTAATTGATAAGATATCTCCACACACCTAATTTCACAACACAGATATGTAACCTGTTAGATACTGTATGTCCTCCCTCTGATGTTCACATACGTACAGTATATCACTGACCCAAAAACATTTCCTCAAATGTCTAAATATTATGTTATATGTATTCCCCACTGAAACTCTACGTTTTTACATTTAAACAGGGTTTCTTTTAGAATATATGCAAAACCATGACATTTCTGTAAATCTAGATTCTTCATTTGCCAGTTGACACGGCAATGAGAAAAATAGAGCTCGTGACGAAAAGCTCAGGATTATTATTTCCATTGTTAATAAGTGTTACGGATACAGGTATCCTGTGTCTTTTTGTGTTTTTCCTCTCCTTCTGCCCTAATCACAGGTGTCCTGTATGTTCCTGATTGGTGGTTGTTGAGGTGTCTGCTGATTGCTAAGGTGGACCAATCAGTGAACATTCCTCTGCATTGCACCACCTGTAGCTGGTTTTTCCATCACACATCCCATTGTTTAAAAGCCGGTCAGTTGTGTTTTTTGTTAGAGACTATTTTCGTATGTGAGTATGGATACTGTGGTGTCCTGTGTTTTGTTTACTCACTAAGTTGCTGGTTACTCTGTTTGGTAACTTTGTTAGACTACTTTTCGTATGTGAGTATGAATACTGTGGTGTTTTGTGTACTCACTCATTTGCTGGTTACTCTGTTTGGTAACTCTGTGTGTTTCTGGGAAAAGGGGAGTTTAAGCAAGTTGCCCTTGGGCGTGCATTACCCGTAGGAAGAAAACTGTCTAAAAACACTAGTTAGACCTGAGCGGACCACCCACTGTATTTTTGTATGATTAGCAGTAGCTTAGCGGTTCTTGAGGCAGGCAAGATCAGTTTAGGGGTGTTTTACACTATTGTTTCATTTCTTGGGTCCTGCTCAGCCCTTTTTCCCAAACCTTTACCGTGTGTTCAACAATAAACCTTTTATGTTTGACGGTAGTTTATGGTTGTCGTGTAGTTTTATTTCTCACTGTTCCATGTCACGCTTATAATTTGCATGAATTATGTTACGGGTCTCATGTCCATCCACCCTAGACGTTTAAAGCCACGGGGTTCGTAACAATAAGAAATTATGGAAAGTTGTAAATTAACTCAGCAGCAGGTAGCAACACTTTCTGTAGAATGTCTTAGGTCATGTAGGTTTTACAAAGTTCTGATTTAACTTCTCTAAATTACTTTTACAACTTTTTTAAGTGCAAGGAAGTTGTATAATACTCACGTTTAGTGTTGATGCCTTCTCAGGTGTGTGGCTTCACTTGCTCTCAGTAGTTATAATCTGCAACGTGAACCTGCTGTAACACCCCTTCTTGAGAGTTCCACAATGTCCCCTCTCCTCTATTGTCCTTGCTTATGCACATTGAACTTTGGCACAATGATATTTAGGACATTCTGTGAGAACAAAAACGTATTCAATGAGTTCTTGGCTACCTGTAGGTAAGCTTTAATTTCAAGTGTGGGACAAACTCCACCTATCTACCCCACCCTACCAGGGGCAGGTATGCAACAAGTGCTCCTTTTCACACTTTTTTTTTATTTCTCTGAACTCATGGTTTGTTTTGTAGTTCCATGCATGATTGTTGTTTCTTTATACACACCCTGATTTACTATCTCCAATGCTTAATAATGAACTGACAGACATTCTAAATTGAACAGAAAATGAAATGACCCTGGTCTCAGCCTGTATTATTTGACTATGGTATTAAAGGGAAGATATGATGCAGTTGAAAGCTAAAGACGAATGGAAAAATTGGGTTCCATATAATGACATGTATTGCCATTAATAAAATGGCAAGTCAAATCACAATCACACGTATCTAAACTCACCACATCAAAAATACAGCAATTGTTTTGCAAAGCGCATGTACTGTATGTAGGGAACTGGAAAGTGGGGACCCATGACCCATATCTAGTCAATAAGGAATCAGTGTAATTGGTAAACACAAGAAGTGTCTCTCCAGATTTAATGCAGTCCTCTGTGTAACTATTGCGCGGCGACATTGGATTACATTACAAGATGTGCAGATAATAGCTCCTTGGGTTTTTCAGTAACTGAGCTGAGGGCTGGTGCTAACAATATACACTGAATGTTCTGCTCTTTCCATGACTTAGGCTGACCAGGTGAATCGAGCTGAAAGCTATGATCCCTTATTGATGTCACTTCTTAAATCCACTTCAATCAGTGTAGATGAAGGGGAGGAGACAGGTTAAAGAAGGATTTTTAAGCCTTGAGACAATTGAGACATGGATTGTGTATGTGTGCAATTGAGAGGCTGAATGGGCAAGACAAAAGTGCCTTTAAACGGGGTATGATAGTAGGTGCTAGGCACACCGGTTTGTTTTAAGAACTGCAACGCTGCTGGGTTTTTCACGCTCAACAGTTTCCCATGTGTATCAATCATTTGTATTTGTATTTATTATGGATCCCCATTAGCTGCTGCCAAGGCAGCAGCTAATCTTCCTGCGGTCCAGCAAAATTAAGGCAATTATACAATTTAAAAAACAAATACATTCACAACAGATTTTAAAACATTAAGTGTGTGCCCTCATGCCCCTACTCTACTACCACATATCTACAACACAAAATCCATGTGTACGTGTCTGTATTGTGCATATGTGACTTGTTTCAGGAAACTAGGCGTATGTTGTGGGTCACTACCTCACAGGAGAGCCAAATGAAAATAAACTTCTTTTTTTTTCAAAATGAACTTTCACGTGCCTTAATAACAAACTTGTATGCCATCTGTAAATACGAATACAATTGTTAAATTACAAGCCTAGTTGGTTAAGCCACAGAAAAAGACAGCAACCTTCCCACTAGCCATGATTGGCTGAGATAATGAGTGGGCTGGACATGCTGAGAGAGGAGTTCGGATTGGTCTGCCATATAGCACGCTTCTGTCTATTTGAGCTGGTCAGTATGTGTAGGTAATCCTGTCTAATGCGGCTTTTAAAAAGTGCGGGGTGTAGTGGAGCTGCATAAGTGTTGCTCTCCACTTTCTGGAGGATCGAGTTTTGAAATCAGTGGAATTAGAGTATGATAGCTAACGATATGGAGAAAACACCTGTCTCCGGATTACATCTTCAAACTAAGGCCAACCATGGCATCCGTGACAGGGAGACGGGTCCATCATGCATGATGTATACGGGTAAGATAGTCTAACTAGCTACATTTTCAGATATTACACGTTTCTAATTGACAGAAAGTGGTTTCATTTCAAGTTAAAGTGTACCGTTAGCTAGCTAGCTAATGTTAGCTGGCTGGCTCGCTAGCTAAAGTTACGTGCATGCTCTTATTATTCGTATGTCAGAGCCATTTTCTTGCTAACATTGAACCTGGTTGGTTAGCTACCTGCAGATTCATGCAGGGTAGTAAAGTCATGAGTTGGGATTATGGTTCATTGTTTAACTAGCTATCTAACGTTAGCTGGCTGGCTCGCTAGCTAACGTTATGTGTATGCTCTTATTATTCGTATCTCAGAGCCATTTGCTTGCTATCATTGAACCTGATTGGTTAGCTACCTGCAGATTCATGCAGGGTAGTAATGTCATGAGTTGGGATTATGATTCATTGTTTAGCTAGCTAGCTAACATTAGCTGGCTGGCTTGCTAGCTAACGTTACGTGTATGATTTGACACATTGTTTACCTAGCTAGGTTCATTGTTTACCTAGCTAGCTAGCTACATGTCTTAAAGTTTTTTGCTAAATAAGAACGAATCAAGGCAGTCGGTCACATATGTTATCGTGTGTGTGTGTGTGTATTTATGTCTGTGCTTGTGTTTGTGTTGCTTCACAGTCCCTGCTGTTCCATAAGGTGTATTTTTATCTGTTTTTTAAATCTAATTTTACTGCTTGCATGAGTTACTTGATGTGGAATAGTGTTCCATGTAGTCATGGCTCTTTGTAGTACTGTGCACCTCCCATAGTCTGTTCTGGACTTGAGGACTGTGAAGAGACCTCTGGTGGCATGTCTTGTGGGGTATGCATGGGTGTCCGAGCTGTGTGCAAGTAGTTCAAACAGACAGCTCGGTGCATTCAACATGTCAATACCTCTCACAAATACAAGTAGTGATGAAGTCAATCTCTCCTCCACATTGAGCCAGGAGAGATTGACATGCATATTATTAATGTTAGCTCTCTGAGTACATCCAAGTACATCCAAGGGCCAGCCGTGCTGCCCTGTTCTGAGCCAATTGCAAAGTCCATCTTTGTGGCACCTGACCACACGACTGAACAGTAGTCCATGTGCGACAAAACTAGGGCCTGTAGGACCTGCCTTGTTGATAGTGCTGTTAAGAACGCAGAGCTGCGCTTTATTATGGACAGACTTCTCCCCATCTTAGCTACTAATGTATCAATATGTTTTGACCATGACAGTTTAAAATCCAAGGTTAATCCAAGCAGTTTAGTCACCTCAACTTGCTCAATTTCCACATTATTCATTACAAGATTTAGTTGAGGTTTAGGGTTTAGTGAATGATTTGTCCCAAATACAATGCTTTTAGTTTTTGAAATATTTATGACTAACTTATTCCTTGCCACCCATTCTGAAACTAATTGCAGCTCTTTGTTAAGTGTTGCAGTCATTTCAGTCGCTGTAGTAGCTGACGTGAATAGTGTTGAGTCATCTGCATACATAGACACACTGGCTTTACTCAAAGCCAGTGGCATGTCATTTGTAAAGATTGAAAGAAGTAAGGGTACTAGTTGCCCTAGGGGTGTCC